TACCAGCACACCAAGAAGAGCGACAAGAAGCACTGAGCTCCAAAGTAGCCCCATCGCGATCACCACTTCCCACGCCCCCTCCTCTCGCCGATGTTGCGGACTCTTCCCTACAGCATTACAATACTTTCCTTCGTCATCGGCATCCTCCATCTGGCGTTTGCTCTTCCTTACAGCGTTGCATGGTCAGCTTTCTCATTAGACGGAGCACGATACCACGATTATGGTCGCATGGCACATTACAGCATGACACAGCCACTCGAGAGGCGGCAATTAGAGCGTCGCGCCCCTCATGCTTTTCGTTCCCCTTTTCCCTTCTAGAGCCGGGCCGTCGCCTCACTCTTTTGACCCGACTGGCGCATCGATACCAACTTGATTTTTGGCGTGGAACCAGGCTAGCATATCTTGCAGGCCGTTGGCAGACGAAATCTGCATTGACACGTAGAGCACTCGGCGTCGTTCACGTTGTGAACAAATTCGTCGGAATACAAATTGTCGATACAAACTTTAGTGACACTTCCGAGACAACAGTGATAAAAATGCATGGGGTGCAGTATGTCAAGATGACTATCAGCCTGTTTTGGCTGGTTGGATGGCGTTGCTATTGATCTCGCTGCATTCCGTCATACGAGCTTACAGAATGCCATCGGGAAGTCCGAGGCATTTCCCATCACGCAAGCAAATCGTGGTCAGGGTTGCCATGTCTCAGGTGGCACCAATCTTGCGTTAGTTCAAGTATGATGATGTCGATATTGCGAAATGACAGAAACATGTGACCCTTATGCGGTTTCGTCCAGTCCTACACCACTGCTGGTTGGATGCTTGTGAGATATCCGTCCCGACAGGATGGTGCTAGTTGACTCGAAAACCTGTTTTGTAGCACGGTGGTGCAGGTAACAAAGGCGCCGCTGGTGGGAGCTGCTGGCCTGCTCTGATAGGTCGTGCCCGTTGCTGCATGATGGCTAGGAGGCCGTTGATTCAACTTTCAGAAGGACGATCACGGGCAAGTAGCGGGATGAGTCCAGGAAGGGAAAGGGAAACATCTCGCCTACGCAGGATTAACTGAGTAGATGCCGACATTCAGATGGGATCTCCTCGTTTCGATTCGTACAGAAAGCTGCCATAAAGGAACCCGAAACAACCCTTTGCGCCAGGACATGCCCCAATGTTCGAGTGCATCATCAGCTGGATGACTCGCAGACGGCTTTCACTTCTTCGACTTTTCCTTGCTGCCTTCTTTGCTTGCCTTCCCGTTGCCGGTATTCCTCCTCTCGCCCTTCTTATCCTCGTCCTTCTCGTCTTCGTCTCCGGCTATTTGTCATTCGATTTACCGCCACTGACGTCCTCATCTTCAGGTCCATCCTTAGCCTGCCCGCTGGATTCCTTGCCTTTGGACTCTTCGCCGTCTGACTTGGTGTCGGGCTGGTTTTCGGACTCACGGTCAGCCTGGTCGCCGGCCTTGTCGCCGTTCTTGTTCGGGTCTTCCGCAGACTGGTCTTCCTTTTTGGTCTTGTCCTTATCATCGCCACCCAACTTGTTGCCTTTCCCGCTTTGCTTACGACCACCCTCCTTGCTGGCAGCTTCATCCTCCTTGTGCTTGCGTTCGGCCTCGGCCTTTAGCTTCCTGTTCTTCTCCTTTTCCTTCTTCTCCAGCGCTGCCCAATCGACTTCCTTGTTTGGGAGGTTCTCATGGACTCTGTCCGAAAGGCCTTGACCCAAACGAGGGGCGGCCGAACCGACCTTGGCCCGACCGACAAGGCTGACGAAGATCGCAACACCGACGATGCCCGTCAGAATGAATCTGTACTTGGTGTACCAGGGCGGTGTCCAGCCACGCGTCGTCGCGCGAGCATCGGCCAGGTAGAGGCCTGTGAAAGCGGAAAATTGTGTGATCAACGCCGCCTCGATCGGCATGAACAGGGTAGGCCACGCAACGACAGGCGCGAGGACGCCCATGCCATAACGAAAGTTTGTGCGCGAAGACGAGATGGTCTTGGCAGTGTATTCCATGCCCTTCATACGGATTAGTGGGAATCGAACGAGGTCTACCATGCTTGATTGCTCACCCAATGCACAGCGCCCAGAAACGAGATGATGACGGCGCCGTAACCTAGCTGCACTGGCTCGAGGAAGTCAAGCCAGTATTGCGCCGATTCGTGGTTCATATGAATGTGATTGATCAGTGTCGAAGAGGACGGCCAGTCCGTGTTGAGGTCCCAACTCAAGTAGACTGTGGCTAGTGATGTACCAAGGTAGGGGATCGTGCCGGCGAGGCCAAGCCAATAGGGCTGTTTGGGCACATCGGAAAGCTCAAAAGTGTCTCTTACGATACCCTTAAAGTGATCAGCGTTAATAGGTTTCGACCGACCGTAGAAGTGTAGGATCTGTTACCAAGTCGTGTACGAGGCCATCTTGAACACGGTCATTGTTCTGTGCGGCCGGACTGGGCTCGAAAACTTGGCGTGTAGACGAATCTACAGAAACATCTTCAGGACGAGACTGAATCTTCTTCCTGCCAACTTCCTTTTCGGTCTTGACATCAATCTTGTCGTAGGGGCTGTTCGAGTACTGTCGTCTCGAAGGGTAGAGGGCGGCGACGGTCCTACTCCTAAGGCCTCCGTATTTCGAAATTCGACTTCCCGGCGTCAAAATCTGAGCTACCAAAGTGATCGAAGCTCGCGGAAGGAGGCGGGCCGCTGCTCTCGTGGAAAGAAGCATGGTTGCGTGGGCGGCGCGGTTCAATGGAAGTCTGGCACGAAGAGGCTTGTGGTGCTGCGGCGAATCGCTGTGCTATGAACAACACGAGGCAGACGATCAGTATATCGCGCCCGGGACACTGATGGTTAAAGAGACCACAAACAATACTGACAGCTCAAAATCCAAGCTCCTAGCCTGCAACCGGCTCCTTGTTGAGCTCCAAGGTTCAATTGACCATGTTGGAAGGCATGTGCTACAAATGACGTAATGCAGTGATGAGCTCAACGGCTGAGAAGCTCCGACTTGGGTAACAGCCCCTCGTTTGGGCCTAGACTTACGCCCGACCATGATCGCCGATGCGCAGCACGCTCCCCCGTCCATCGTTCTTTCCTTTGCTCGCACGCAGCGGGGAAAGTCAACTTGCAGCCAGCGTCATCATCCGCTAAGTTCCCACACCGTCATCCTTCCGCCAGGTTCCATCTTGCCATGTCGACGGTGATCCAAATCTAGTCCTTTGCCTTGTTTATCCACTTTCTACAGAATCGGAGTTTGAGAACCCCCCCCCCCCCCCCCCCCCCCCTTTTAGCTTGTCAAGGGCCCCCTTTTCATTTGTAAAAAAAATTTCTAGCGCCCGGGAACCGGGCCCCCCCCCGGAGAACCCAAAAATTGTGGGGTGGTGCCACACCCTTTAGAATGAATGATGAAGTGTGGAAATCGTCTAAAAATAATTTTTGCGACGCACCTC